TGGTTAAAATTGCTTGAGCAACACTTTTAGATTGGTTAACCATAGTTAAGATGGTAAACTATTTTTCCTTAGTAGTGCAGCTTCTCTGATTTCCTATTTTCAGGTCCTTCTTTCCTTTTTTTTTTTTTTTTAAAGATTTTATTTCAAAGTAATCTCTACACCTACTGTGGGGTTTGAACTCACAACCCTGAGATCAAAAATCACATGCTCTACCAACTGAACCCACTAGGCACCCCTCCTTCTTCCCTTTTTTATTATTTTGTGAGCACATACCTTGTGTGAGTGTGTTCAAATTTGCAACACTAATCCCTAGAAGCATAAGGTCATGGGCTGTAATGTCTTTTTCCTGTTTATCTTTCCCTTCATCATCCCTTTTCTCTGCAGGCCCTGGTTCCTACATCTTTTTCACTCAAATCTTTTTTTTTTTTTAAGATTTTATTTATTTATTTGCGAGAGAGGGATGGAGAGAGCATGGGGGAGGTGCAGAGGGGAGGGAGCAGCAGACTTCCCATTGAGCAGGGAGCCCAATATGGGGCTCAATCCCAGGACCCTGGGATCATGACCTGAGCGGAGGGCAGAAAAGGCAATACACTTAACCAGTTGAGCCACCCAGGCACCACCTCACTCAAATCTTTTTGTCCCTCTCCTCCATTTTTCTTTTGTTTTTAGAAAAGACTGGAGAAAAATAAAGGGGAAGATGAAGAAAATCCTGTGAGAGAAGTAGGTCAAACTGGGAGTAGATTTATCAGTCTTAGCACATTCTAAATATAGGAATAGAAAATCTTCATGTATTAACATTTTTTCTTTATTTGAATCCCCTATCTACCTACTCATTTTCAGTTAGCAAAAATAAAGGATATAGGAAAATTTAAGGAAAACACAAAATTGAGGTGAATAAATGGTTTTGATGGATTTATTACATTATATTTGCTCCTTCTCTTTTGGATTTCAAGGACCAATGGGCTTGTTTTCCTTTTGCTATGAATATATACAGTATTTAACTCTTTCTGGACATTCTGTGGACTAACTTCTTCAGGGCTATATAATTACACTTTGTGTTATCTTTTGTCTTCCTAAGCTATTTTGGTCTAAAAGATTATACACCACCTTTTTCCTGTTAAGTTCTTCTATTAACTGTTGAATCTGTGTTAGTTTTGTTTTCCCAAAAAACAGCATCTTGATGTCCTTGAGTCTGAAGTATTGTTTTGCCACTTGTGGTGTTTTTTTCCTGTTGGAAGGCTTTACTATTTTTTCTCTGCATATTACATTTGACCTGACCTTCAAGGTTTGGCTTAAGTTCATTTCCTCTTTTAAGTTTTAAAAATTTCTCTAGTTACTTCCCAATTCTGCACTATACGACTGTGCATTTGTGGTTGGCCGAATAATGGCTCCCGCCCCCAAAGTTGTCCACTTTCAATTCCCCAGAATCTGTGAATGTTACCTTACGTGGCAAAAAGTACCTTGCAGATGTGGTTAAATTAAGGACCTCGAGATGGAGAAGTTATCTTGGGTTATGCAGAGGGGCTCAATGTCATCCTAAGGGTCCTTCTAAGAGGGAGGCCAGAGGATCAGAGTGGGAGAAGAGGTGATGCTACAATGGTAGTAGAGGGAGAAAAGGCAATGGGATGTGGGGCCAGGAGTCAAGGAATGCAGGCAGTCTCTAGAAGCTGGAAAAGACAAGGAAGCAAATTCTTCTTCAGAGCCTCCAGAGTAACCAGCCCTGCCAGCACCTTGATTTTAGTTCGCTGAGGCTGATTTTGGACTTTTGACCTCCAGAACTATCAGATGATGAATCTGTGATGTTTTAAGCTACCAAGTTTGTGGTAATTTGTTATAGCAGCAGTAGGAAACTAATATGACATTATTACACTCTTTACAATCCTCTAGGTCTGTTCCACATAATTTAGCACTTTATGTCATGTTCTCCAGTCCTACTACATATAAATGGTAGAATATAAATTCTTGGTGGACAGGAACTGGAATTTCTACCTCTCTTTTTTATACCCCACAGTGTCTTGTCCAATCTTAGGAACAGAGGCATTTGGAATGGATTGATGCATAAAAGAGGATGGCCTCCTTTCTGTCTCCACTGCTGCTATGGTGCCCCTGAAGAAGCTTTTCATGAGGGGGGTGCAAAAAAAGGAAGCAAGTTCTGAAGTTTACCCTTGACTGCACTCACCCTCTAGAAGATGGAATCATGGATGCTGCCAATTTTGAGCAGTGTCTTCAAGAGAGAATCAAGGTGACCAAATAAACAGGGGACTTGGACTTAAAAAAAAAAAAAAAGAAGTGAACGGAAAGGCTGGGAATCTTGGTGAAGGGGTTGTAAGCATTGAAAGGAGCAAGGGAAAGATTCCTGTAACTTCTGAGGTCACTTTTTCCAAAAGGTATTTGAAATATCTCACTAAAAAATATTTGAAGAATAATCTAGGTGATTGGTTATGCGTAGTTGCTAACAGCAAAGAGAGTTATGAATTGCCTTATTTCCACATTAACCAGGAGAAGGAAAAGGAGGGAGATGAGGATTAAAACTCATTTATTTGTATATTGAATATTTTGTATGAGTTCTTGAATAAAACCTGGGAACGAGAGAGAGAGAGAAAGAGAAGAAGGCCCCTACCATTGGGGAAATGAAAGGTATTTTGAAAGACATGTATGACTCAATGAACTGTGTTTACTTCTTTGGCATCAAATTCCAACCTTGTGTTTTGAGCTGTCACACGCAGTGTTGGGTGCACAGTACCTGCATAATGGAGGGTGGAACACAGTGGATCTTCAAAAAGCACTTGATGTATTGAGCTAAAATCTGCAGGGGAAAGAAGGAAAAGGAGAAAGAAAAGCAAGATGGGTCTGGCAGAAAGTACTTCTTGTCTCTTTAGCTGATGCATTTTTTGTTACATTAATGTAAAATGTTGAAAAAGAACATTCATCAAAATTTCTAACATGAATCTTTCCTGAAAGCAAAATAGGAGAGGACAAGATGATAAAAATGGGCAGGCTGTGACAGTTTAATTTCATCCTATTACATTCAAACAACCAGTCTTTTAAAATCCAGGTAATATGCTTAATACTGTGCCAAGAGATAAAGAGGTTACAGACAACCCATAGGACACGGGTCTCTTCTAAAGGACCTTAATATCTTGTTGGTATAATATTAATAATCAACTAGGGTTACCAGGCAGCTTATTGCTGTCTTGTGTGATTCAGACTTTGGAGATTATAGGTATTCGGAATTTGGCTCTGCAGAATCAATACTTCATTCATTCAGCACACGTTTATTGAAAACGCATTATGGTTCTCTTTGAATAAGACTTTCTGTTTGGAGTTTAAAATCTAATAAAGGAAGACAAAGGAAATAACTCATATAAGAATGGATTAAGTGCTAAATAGCAGGATGCTTTGTAGTTGAGAAAAGGTTATTACTATAATTTCTGAAAGTTGAAAGGGGAGGTGGGATTGTGAATTATTTTAAAGGTATTATTTAGACCAAGCCTTGAAAGATGAGTAGGACTTTGAAAAGAATAGACTATTCCAGGCTGAAGCATGAGCAAGAACACTGAAGACATCAAAGGGCATAGTTTTGGTTGGATGTTCAGAAGGAACAAAGGATGCTTGAAGGGTAGTGCGTTACTTTATTGCCATGGTAACAAATTACCACAAACTTAAAACAACAGAAATTTATTTTTTATAGTTCTGTAGGTCAGAAGTCTAACACAGGTCTCACTGGGATAAAAGTAAGGTGTCAGCAGGGCTGAGTTCCATTCTAGAGGCTCTAGGGGTGAATCCACTTCCTTGTCTTTTCCAGCTTCTAGAGATTACCACAAACGTGGCCAGTTGTTCTTGTTCTCTATTTTCAAAGTCTTTTTAATCATTCTTCATAGTCACATCTCCCTCTGCCTCCCTCTTTTGAAGGCCCTTGTGATTGCATTTGGCCCATTTAGTAATCCAGAATAATCTGTTTTAGAGTCAAATGATTAGCAACCTTAACTACTCTTTGTGGGTGAAATTTAACATATTCACAGGTTCTGGGGATTAAGATCGTGGACATCTTTGGTGGGGGGCATTATTCTGCTTACCACAGGTAGTAAGGAGCTAATCTTGAGAGGAAAGGAGGCCAAAAGGGTATGAATGCACTGACAAGGGCAATGGAGAGCAGGTGCATGTTTCTGAGGCTCGACATAAATCCGCATTTTTTTGAAAACAGTTTTGGCTGCCCCATAAAACACTGAACGGGCAATTTTGGGGTGTAACATCAGAAAGCTATTATTACACCCAAGGTGAGCGGGTCTAAGGCAGGGAGGGAATAGCTGATCTTTTTATGTGGCCTGAGGCTGCCTCTGCCCATTTCTGAGTTTTTCATTAAAATCATGACATCATCCCGCAGGATCTCTGCATGGCCAGTTTCCGGTAATTTGGCTTCTTTCGTCCAGCAGATACTGCAACCCAGGCCTTAAAATCATTCACCTACGATCAACAAAGGGAGACCGGAATCCTGGCAAATCCCCAATTAGCAAGGCTGAAGCTCAAAGAGCTAAACACTTATTTTTAAGAAATGGTCCAAATCGCAGGAAAACCACGCAGCCCTTGTTCCTTAAGGTGTTTCCTTAACACGGACAAAAAACTGAAAAGCTGTGCCTGGCTCCGGTGAACAAAGCCCGACTGCACCATCACGGTCAACACTAAAGCTCTTCCCACATTCGCGACCCACCAGGGAGCGCGCTCTTCTCCACCCACTCCCCGACAACCGGTCGCAAAAACACGACCCCGGCACAGCGGACTCTACTGACGCCGCGCCCGCCACCCGACGACGACGTCAGCGAGGAGTCCCAGGAGTGCGGCGGGTAGCTGTCGGGCAGGTGGAGGTGGAGGCAAGAAGAGGGGGGCGGACCCGCGCTCACACAGTCTTCGGCTTCCGTCATTTCCGGGTGCGACCGCCGCTTCTGTCCGGCTGGGCGCTGGACGCGTTGGGTGCGCTCTTACTGCGTCTGACCGTCTGCACTAACTGCCCCTTCCTTGTTCCCAGCGGGAAGGACATGAGTGTTCCTGGGCCGACGTCCCCGGACGGGGTCCTGCCAGGGCCACCCCTCGGCCGGGGGGCAGGGGAGCCGACGCCGGGTACGTGTAATGGGGCGGGGCGGGCGGCCGGGACCCGAGTGGGTGGGTCTCCGGGGCTGCTGGGCGGGAGAGAGCTGCTCGTCTCCGAGCCTTTGGCTCCAGCGCGGAAGTGGGGCATCGCGTCGGCCCCGGGGCCGAGCTGCCTGAGTGGGAAACGAAGTCTGGGGGACGGTTGATGGTGAGGTCATTCTGTGTTTGTGTGTTGACTCCGGCACACTGTTGGCTGTTTGTTATACGTTAATGGTCAAGGATGAATTTGTCAGAAAGATGATCGGTTTGTCATTCAGAGAATTGATGTATCCAAGTATTATTGACCACTCACCCATGAAGTGCTGTCTTGCTTGTTGACATTCCTCCAGCAGCTTTCTCAGCCGGAGTTCCAGGAGAGATTTAAGCCCTAATACCCAAAGGCATCCATTGAATGTAATAAATTGACTTGCCAGGCATCCTAAATGGTACTATTTATGTACCATCCTTGGGAGAATTGAGAAAATAGTCAAAACAGTTTCTGTTCAGATGAGGAACCCCAAATGAGGAAGGCTGCAGGGCTTTAGATGTGTTTCTTTTACCTCCGGTTCTAGGAATATAGAGGCTACTTAAAAATAGTGCTTTCTCCCCTTTCTTGGTCATGCTTTTCCTCAGTGATCGCCCCCACTTTCATAAGCTGCTTCTATTAATATGACTTCCTTGTATATATGTGCATTTTGGGGTCCCTCTCCTCTTGCCTCTCCATCTGCTTGCTGGATACTTTGACGTGGTTGTTTTGCTCTAACCTCGCATACAGCCTGTGCATAAATAAAAGTAGATGTCTGATTCTGTTAATGGTGCCAAGTCACTCTCACTTCAAACTTTGACGTTAGTCTTGACTTTCCTTTCACTTGCCTTCTACCTCTATTTAGTCTAGGGGATTCTACCACGCAGTTTCCATCTCCTCTCTGTAGTTTCACCTTCAAGGCCAGTTGTAAGGCTATCCACCTCCAGTCTCTTACTCTTCCGCTGCATCTGTCCCACTGTTGTCATATCACTGCTCCAAGATAAAGCTCCGGTCATGTCATTTTCTTGCTTGGAAACCTTAAAATGGCTCCTTACTATTTACTAACCAAAGGGCCAAACCCCTTAACTTGACACTCAGGGATCCTCGTGGGCTGGCCACATGATTTTATAAGCTCACTATTGCTTATGTCCTATGTTCTAGACACTCCAAACTACCTTCTCTTTTCAGAGCAATACCATATTCCCACCTTTCCTTCTGCTGCCCCCGCCTTTTTTAACCATATGGAATTCCTTCCACTCCTTTAGAATTCTTACCCATTTGGAAATAGTGGCCTTCAAAGAGTGTTGGTAGGAGTAGAAATTGGTGCCCTATCTTAGGAAGGCAGTTTTGCAATGTCTGTTTACGAAGTGCCTAAACCCTTTGTCCCATCATTCTATTTCTAAGAATTTATCCTACAGAAACATTGACATGGATATGCAAAGACAAGCAAGGAAACTCATGGCAACATTGTTTGAAATAGCAAAAAGTGAAAATAACTTGAATACCTATCCTTAGGTATCTTAGTCTACATGGGCGGCTACAACAAAGTACCATAGGCTGGGTGGCTTAAACAACAGACATTTATTCCTTGAAGTTCTGGAGTTCTACAAAGTCCAGGATCTATGTGCTGGCCAATCAGGTTCCTGGTAAGATCCCTCTTCTGATGTTGCAGACAGCTGCCTTCTCATTGTGTCCTCACATAGTGGAGGGAGAGAGTTCTGGATTCTCTTTATCTTTTAAGAATAATAACTCCATCATGGGGCCCCACCTTCATGACCTCATCTAAACCTAATTACTTTCCAAAGGCTTCACCTCCAAATACCTTTGTGTTGGAAGTTAGGGCTTAAACAAAAGAATTTTGTGGTGGGGGACACAAACATTCAGTCCATAACAGAGAACTGGTAAACAAAATATGGTAGAATTCTATTCTGTTAGAAATGTAGTAGATGCATGTATATGCATATGGAAAGATATCTAAGATGTATATTTAAGAGAACAATATGCATACTATTTCATTTACGATTAAAACAGGTTTTTTTTTTTTTTAAGATTTTATTTATTTATTTGTCAGAGAGAGAGCAGGAGAGCACAGGCAGGGGGAGCTGCAGAGGGAGAGGGAGAAGCAGGCTCCCCGCTGAGCAGGGAGCCCGACGTGGGGTTGGATCCCAGGACTCTGGGATCATGACTGGAGCCGAAGGCAGTCGCCCAACGAACTGAGCCACCCAGGTGCCCCTAAAAACAGGGTTTATGCATTGGTATACAGAGACAATTTTTTGGAAGGCTCTGTGAAACTAGAGTGACTGGAGTAAGGGAGTGAGAAAGTATTTTTTTTTAAGATTTATTTATTTATTTTAGATTTTATTTCTTTATTTGACAGAGAGAGAGCACACAAGCAGGGGGAGTGGCAGGCAGAGGGAGAGGGAGAAAGAGAAGCAGGCTTCCCACTGAGCAGAGAGCCCGATGCGGGGCTCGATCCCGGGTTCGTGACCTGAGCTGAAGGCAGATGCGCAACTGACTGAGCCACCCAGGTGCCCCTAAGATTTTATTTTTTAAGTAATCTGTACACCCAATGTGGGCCTCAAAATCATAACCCCAAGATCAAGAGTTGCATGCTCTACCAAATGAGCCAGCTAGGTGCCCCAAGAAAGAGTATTTTTACTTTTCAGCTTATACTTCCCTCTTTTCCATTTCAAGTTTTTACAATGAGTAATACTTAAAAAGAAAATTCTATCCATTCTGCAAGCTTAAACTCCAGTTCCCACACTTCCTTTAGAAGTTGTTCCCAGACTTCCCTGATAAACATGATCTTTCTCTCCTCTGAATTCCCATAACAGTTTCTTTTTCTCTAATGGCACTTCTCATATATTATGATTCCCCTGTATCGAGCCCTTTCAGAGAAGGGAACTTGCTTAGTTTATTCTTGTAACCTTGGAAACTAGTACCCTAGTACTAGTATTAATACAAGTGTGTAGCTAATATTTCTTGTATGAGGAGGGTAAGGACCCTTTCTTTTTCTTTTCCTTTAATCTCCCACAGTAAAGTACCTTGAATTTAGTAACTTGATATATTTAGAAATGTAAGTTGGACTCTTCCTTAATTAACCAGAAGATTGGGGTAGAGTAGGGGGAGGTCTGTGAGTTAAAATGTTTATATGATGTAAGGGAAATGTATTAGTTGTGATTCCTTAAAGTTGACATATCCTTATTTGGGTGTTTCTGTTGTTTATCTGTAATACTTGTTTTCTGTATATCCTTAAAGAGAGTTGCTATTTGCCCTGTTACTATAATTAAGCCTTAAGCAATGGCATTAATGTTTAGATACACTTTATTCACTTCCCATCTGATGGCACATCAGTGGCAATATCTGTAAAACTCCACTTTTTCCCATTATATATATATTTTAAAGGTTTATTTATTTATTTGAGAGAGTGCATGCACACGGTGGGGAAGGGCAGAGGGAGAGGGAGAGAGAGAATCCCAAGTGACTCCGCGCTGACCAGAGCCCAACTCGGGGCTTGATCTCAAGACCCTGAGACCATGACCTGAGCCCAGTGCCCAACCAGCTGCACCACCCAAGCACCCCTTTCCCATTAGATTTTTATTTCATTTGTGGACTGCTTCAGTTTCTAGTTAGTTCTTACCTGTTTGAATATTGCCTTGCTACTTGGAGAATTCCAAAATTTTCATATATTTCTCAGAATCAAAAAAAAAATCATACTATTTTTTTTATCTATAAAAACTTACTTTGAGTATGACGACATGTTGTTTTTCTCAATCTTGCCAAAATTTACATCTGTGGTAAAAACTATATTTGGAAATGAGCTGTAAGTAGTGTGCCATAATAAATATATTTTATATAATGATCTAATTTGATCTTACTGATTATTACCAGATTATGATTAAATGGAGATGTTTCAGAGCTTAATACATAAAAATGCTTTTAGAGTACAATTTTAGTAATATGACCATGTCACTTTTTTTTCCTCATTCTAAACCAGTGATTCTAAAATCTTAAAAACCATTCATCGAACCCTGTTTAGAAATAGTTTTGTACTTTTCTTGGTAGGAGTAGTGATTGATGGGTATTCATTTTAGATGTTTTTGAATGGCTGACAGTGCTTACACTGTTATTCAAAGGAGAAGTATGAAGCATAGTTCCTGGCATCACGTCGAGATTTGCATGCAATTATTATACACTATTTTCTATGGTAAATTAAGGTGCTGAGTCTCAAGAGAAATCCTTTGAAAATCTTTCTCCTTCTAACAAATGATAAAACAACCTTCCTTTTACATGGAAATAATATATCAAGCTATATGCAAAGTAAATGTTGACCCACATCAATTGAATTACGTTCAGTTGAAAGAAAATTTTTTTAGGCATTGCATTTCTGCATGCTTATGAAAAGAAGAATTTATTGCTTTCATTCAGTGACTGTTTCCCACTTTTAGGCCTCGGACTCTTAATAATCCATTGAAAACTGTAAATCCTCTGCCCTGGAAAATACATAAACATACAGAATATGTTTTGCATGTGTTAATGTTCTTTTAATCCAGACTTTTCCTTATACCAGTAGCTTAAAACCATTTTTTGAGTGCTCATATCTTGTTTTTTAGAGGACGCTCGGAAGGTAAAGCTAAAAAAAGCAAAGGAAGGATGCCTGTAGTATCCTGTGTGTGTGCTCTGCACCCCAGAGCCAGCCCCCTCCTTCCCCACTACTCTCTTACCTCATGTCCATTTACATGACTCCTACATTTGATTTTTTCTTGGGGACAGGCTTAAGGGACGCTTCTCCAGATGAAGGGTTACTAGAGGACTTGACTGTAGAGGACAAAGCAGTGGAGCAGCTTGCAGAAGGATTGCTTTCTCACTACCTGCCAGATCTGCAGAGATCAAAACAAGCTCTTCAGGAACTCACGTGAGCTAACAAAAACCTTCCATGCACTCGTTTCCCCTTGTATATAAACTGCATTAAGGCATAACATTTTGTAACCTTTAATACAGTTGAGTATTTCTGTCTTTAGTGGTAGCAGTTGGGAGTGAAGGAGTACTTAGTAATCTAAATGTAAAAAGTGAGAGGCGCCCAGCTGGCTCAGTCCCAGAAGCAGGAGCATGTGACTCTGGATCTTGGGGTCCTGAGTTCAAGCCCCACATTGGGCATAGAGATTACTTAAATGAATAAAACTTAAAATGTAAAAAGTGAAATGAATACTACTCCTAGAGTGTTTGGTCTTTTATAAGAGGTACCCCTAAATCTGATCGGACTATTTGATTAGTTTTGGTGTTTTACCATTATTTTATGAAAATATTGCCTGCTGGGAGTGTTGCAGGATGGGCACACACCCGTTTCTGAGTAGTGTTGCAAAATTGCCTCCATAAGAGCCACATTCCTTTTCAGTTGCTGCTTCACATGAGTTGCCAAAAATCTTTTATCTTTTTTTGAGAGGACCCATTTCATTTCTAGTAGATTAGTCTATCTAACTAAAGGATTGGAGGATATACCAAGGGAAGAACGGGATTTCATGAAGTAGGATCAGTATGCAAAATATATACTAAGTTTATCAGCTCTCACCCAGAAAAGCAGACTGAACTTCTACTTCCTTTTGGGTAGGACCTCACTTAGTTGCGCACGCTGGCCTATCATTGCTTTTCGTGCTTGTCAGCTATGAACTGGCTATGAGCTGTTGCTGCTCTAAGACCTACCCTCTGAAAACTTACCTGAAAAGCCTGTATTTGGGGCGCCCGGGTGGCTCAGTCGGTTAAGCATCTGCCTTCAGCTTAGGTCATGATCCCAGGGTCCTGGGATCGAGCCCCGCAGGGAGCCTGCTTCTCCCTCTGCCTCTGTCTGCCTCTCCCCCTGTTTGTGCACTTGTGCTCTCTCTCTCTGACAAATAATTAAAATCTTAAAAAACAAAAAAGCCTGTATTAGGGCAAGAGGAGAGGAACAATCAACAACTGTGTCCATTTTGTACATATTCGTAAGGAATGTTATAATCCTTGGATTTGAAGGCGGTAAATGAGTATGAAAGTGGTACTGTGTTCTACTCTATGGTACACTCCTGGAGTTAGGGAGTTGCCAGCAATCCTGCAACTAGCAATTTTCTGCTAGTTCCAATGACATTTTTTCCCCCTAGTGTGTGGTATTCCTTGTATTTTAAAGCCAGTCAATTCTCGTGGCAAAAAGTCATAAAAATTTCATTAGGAGAGTTTGGATGAAGTATGTTAGACTGAAGGAAGGTAAGAAACTGCAAGCAAAACATATCTGGATAGGGAAATAGTTTTTTTCTCAGAGGATCATTCCGCAGGGAGTTGGGAAGCACAGTTTAATGGCAGAGTTTAATTGATGACATTGGCTAAAATTTAGTGTTTTAAATAATCCCACTTACCTTCCAACCACCTAAATGACGATGGTGATGATGATGATGATGATGATGATAGTAAACTCAGCTGCTGTTTATTACTATTACTATATAGACTGCTTGCCCAATACTTTATATACTGTATCTCAATCCTGACACCTTATGAAGTATTAATATTATTCCTGTTTATAGTTGAGGAAACTGAGGTCCAGCAAGTGTAAGCAAATTGAAAAGGATTACACAGGCAGTGGTTAGTGGTAGAATTAATAATTAAAGATGATGAATAAGCAGTTATTATACCTCTGTAGTGTTAAGGAAAGATAAGCAAACTTCACTGAAAGGAAAAAGATGTTTTCTAGTAGCTGCCTCTTTCATCCCTCTCTCCACAAATCCCACCGCTGATAAAGATTTAGGGGAAAGAGTGCTGGACTGAGAGGCACCTGGGATCCAGTCCTGGCTGTGTTATCAAAACAGTTTAATTTTCATTAAGCCCCTTTACATTATAGAAATAGGCCTACAGAGGTGAAGGAGAAGGTAGTGGTAGACACAAATCAAGTTTACTTTGTAGCTAACGATGGGTAGGGAAGACCAAGAACAAAACTTGACTTTATATATAAGAAAGCTTATGAATATTCTTGTACATGTGTTCATCATTTTAAGAACATTGGAAAGAAAGAAAAAAGAGGTTCTGGGATCTAGGTCCTAAAAGCCTCTAGCAAGGTACTTGTAAGTAGCCTTAGTAGGGTTCCCTTTGAGATAATTCATGCTTGGACCTTCCAGGGAAATAGTTTTTTTCTCAGAGGATCATTCCCCAGATACTGCATCAAGGCTTCCCAGTCACTCCCAGCATATGTGCCACAGATTATACAGAACTTAAAGGGAAAGGAAAGCCAGTCATTTCTGCCTGATATTGTAGCTAAATATTCTGTGGAATCTTTTTCTAGAGTGTCTAGACTTATGGATCATGAAAACACTACTTTTTTTTGTAAGATTTTATTTATTTATTTGAGAGAGAGAGAGAGCATGAGTAGGGGGAGGAGCAGAGGGAGAGGACGAAGCAAACTCCTCACTGCAGGGAGCCTCACGCAGGGCTCGATCCCGGGACCTGAGCCAAAGGCAGATGCTTAACAGACTGAGCCACCCAGGCGCCCTGAAAACAGGCTTATAATTACCGATTTATTATAAAGGATGCACATCAGGACCAGCCAAACGAAGGGACACACAGGGGCAGGGTTTGGGAATAACTCCATCACAGAGCTTCTGTGCCTTCTATTGACATTATTATTATTATTTTTTAAAGGTTTTATTTATTTGACAGAGAGCACAAGCAGGGGGAGCTACAGGCAGAGGGACAGGGAGAAGCAGGCTCCCCACTGAGCAGGAAGCCGCATGCGGGGCTCTATCCCAGGACCCTGGGATCATGACCCGAGCTGAAGGTAGACACCCAACCGACTGAGCCACTCAGGCGCCCCCTCCTAGTGAAATTAGGGCACCCTCCTGGCACATCGATGTGTTTACCAACCAGGAATCTCTGCTGAGCTTCAGTGTTTAAAGTTTGTATTGGGGCTTTACTCTCTAAGTATAATTGATTGGATCATTGGCCATGTAATTGAACTCACTCTCCAGCACCCTCCCCCCACCTCCCTTCTGTGGAGAGAAGACTGATAGCAGTAATGGTATCACATGGACTGATATCACCAGGTTCAAAGCCCCAACCCTGGAACCACATGATTGATCTTTCTCGCATGTCCATCCCCCATCACCTCATTAGCATAAACTCTGGCATGCTCCAAGAGGGGTTTGTGAGTAATGAAGATACTCCTGTCATTTGGGAAATTATAAGCATCTTAGAATAGGCATGCCAGGAACCTGGGACAAAGATCAGACAAATTCATGATTATACACTAAGTGTCTATTCAGATCTTTTGCCTGTTTTTAAATTGGGTTATTTATTTTCTTACTGTTGAGGTTTAAGTGTTCCTTGTATACTTTTGATACGAGTCCTTTATGTGTCTTGCAAGTATTTTCTCCAAGTGTGTGGTTTGTCTTTTTGTTCTCGTAATAGTGTCTTTTTCGGAGCAGAAGTTTTTTTTTTTTGTTTTGTTTTGTTTTTGAGCAGAAGTTATTTATTATTTTTTAAAAAGATTTTATTTATTGATTTCCGACAGAGAGAGAGAGAGAGTGAACGCGTGCACGAGTGGGCAGGGAGGGGCAGAGGGAGAAGCAGGCTCCGGGCTGAGCAGGGAGCCGGATGTTGGGCTCGACCCCAGGACCCTGGGATCATGACCTGAGCTGAAGGTAGACCCTTAGCCAACTGTGCCACCCAGGTACCGGAGCAGAAGTTTTTAATTTAATTTAATTTAATTTATTTATTTTAGAAGTTTTTAATTTTAAAAGTCTGACTTACCAACATTTTTTTTTCATGGATCATGCTTTTGATATTTCATGTAAAGATTCATCTCTAAACCAAGGTCACCTAGATTTCCTCCTGTGTTTCCTTCTAGATTTTTTAGAGTTTTACATTTTATATTTAGATCTGTGGTCCATTTTGAGTTAATTCTTGTGAAATTATAAGGTCTTTGTTTAGGTTAATTTCTTTGCACATCACTGTCCAGTTGTTCCCTCACCTTTGACTATCCTTTCTCCAGTGCGTTGCCTCTGTTCTTTTGTCAAAGAACCGTTGACTATATTTGTGTGGGTCTATTTAAGAGCTTTCTATGCTGTTCCATTGATTGATGCGTTCTTTCACCATTATCATGCTGTTTTGATTTCTGTAGTTTTACAGGGAATCTTGAAATTGGGTAGCATTAAGTGTTCCAACTTTGTTCTTCATTGTGCGTTGGCTATTCTATCTTTGCCTTTCTGTGTGAATTTTAGAGTCAGTTTGTTGATATCTATAAAAGAACTTGGTGGGACTTAAATTGAGATTGCATAGAATCCTTAGATCAGCTTGGGAGGAATTGATATCTTAACAGTATTGAGTTTTTTATTCCATGTAGTTGGAATATCCATTACTTAGATTTTTTTCATTTCTTTCATTAGAGTTTTATAGTTTTTGCATATAATGCCTGTGTATATTTTGTTAGATTTATATCAAAGTATTTATATGAAGGGGGTTATTGTAAGTGGTATTGATTTTTCTAATTATTCACTCCTGAGTTTTATACATTAACCTGGTATGCTGAAACCTTGCTATACTCATATACTTTGTGGATTTCTTGGGATTTTCCACATAGGCAGTCATGTCATCTGTGAACAAAGACAGTTTTATTTGTTTTATTTCTCCCTTTCCAACCTGTATACCTTTTATTTTCTTTTTCTTGTCTCATTACTTTAGCTGGAACTTGCGGTATGATGTTGAATAGGAATAATAAAAGCAGACAGTCTTTCCTTACTCCTTATCATAAGGGGAAAGCATCTAATTTCTCACAAGTGTGATGTTAGCTATAGGCTTTTTTTTAAATGTTTTTTTTAATCAAGTTGAAATTCCTCTCTCTTTCTAGTTTGTTGAGAGTTTTTAATCATGAATGGTGTTGGACTTTATCAGATACCTTTTCTGCATCACGTAATAGGACCAAATGATTTTTCTTTACTCTATTGATGTCTTGGATTTCACTGATTGATTTTCAAATGTTGAACCAGCTTTGCGTACTTGGAATAAATCTCATTTGGTTGTGGTGTATAATTCTTTTTCTATATTGTTGGATTTGTTTGGTTAATATTTTGTGGAGGATTTTTTTGCATTTCTGTTCATGAAAGATATTGGTCTATAGTTTTCCTTTATTGTAGTATCTTTATCTAGTTTGGGTTTTAGCATAATGTTAGCTTCATAGAATGAGTTAGGAGGCGCTCCCTCTGCTTCTGTTTTCTGGACGCTATTGTGGAGAAGTGTTATAATTCCTTCCTTAAATGTTTGGTAGAAATTACGCGTGAAGCCGTCTGGTCCAGGTATTTTTATTTCTGGAAGGTTATTACTTATTGATTGAATTCCTTTAACAAATATAGGCCTACATAGATTATCTGTGTCTCCTTGTGTGAGTTTTGGAAGTTTGTGTCTTTCAAGGAATTAGTCGTTTCTATCTAAGTAATCAATTTTGTGGACAGAATTGTTGAAAATATTCTCTTCTGATCCTTTTAATATCCAGGGAATCAGGGATGATTTCTCTTCTATAAGTAATGTTAGTAATTTGTGTCTTCTCTTTTTTTTTCCTTGTGAGTCTGGCCAGAGGTTTATTAATTTTATTGATCTTTTGAAGAACAACTTTTGGCTTTATTGATTTCTCTTTACTGTTTTCTAGTTGTAACAGTCTGTCATTGCCATCCTGCTTATGTCGGGTCATTGACTTGCTGAGTTCTCTTCTTATTCGTTGTGTATTTCACCTTCTGTGGTCTCTACTCAAGAGCCAAACGGACAGACTTGCGACTTGGGGGGTATGCCAAACTCCTTGCTGGGTGGTGGAGATGTTGTAACTGTTCTTCATTCTCTTCATTGCTGTTTCTTTTTTTCATCATTCTCTGTTTAGCATAGTTTTGCAAGTAAATCATGTCATATTTTGCTTTCCCTGTAGTATTCTTTAAAATGTTTAATTCAGTGGCCCCCTCGGTGTTACTTATTCCTGTGATCCTAGCACTGGTTGATCTGGAGAGGAGTATCAGGGAAGTTGGCTTCTGTTCTTTAATAGAAGGTTTTGAATCAGAATTTTAATGAGGACCCTTAGAAGTTACGTGGTCTGACCTTCTCACTTTATAAATAAAGAAATTTAGGCCCAGAGAGATAAACTAAATTTCCAGGATCATACAACTTGTTATTGGTGGGGAATCTGTGTTTCCTAGTCCTGTTTTTTCATCTTCTTATTTACCTTTTTGAGGTATCCATTGATAGTGCATTTTCCCCAACTCTAATCTAAAAAGTCATTGCTTCCCATTTCCTTTATGGTAATTTTGCAGTTTTAATATACATAAAATCAAGTTTTTTGGGCAAGATAGTATAAAAAAACTTTTTTTTTTGGATAATACAGAGAGTTACTAGAAATAACAAGTAACAAAATGATTGTAAATGATTTGATGATTTCAATTATTACAGTTAGATTCAGTTATTAGAATTACTACTCATTTAGGCAAGAATAAACGATACAGTTACCAGAATGTGGCTTTGGAATATTATGATTATGATTATATTTTCTAAAGTAGGCTCCACATTCCCAGTGTGGAGCCCAATGTGGGGCTTGAACTCATGACCCTGAGATCAAGACCTGAGCTGAGATCAAGAGTCAGAGGCTTAACCGACTGAGTCACCCAGGCGCCCCTGGAATATTATTTTGAAAAAGATTTTGTTGGGCGCCTGGGTGGCTCAGTTGGTTAAGCGACTGCCTTTGGCTCAGGTCATGATCCTGGAGTCCTGGGATCGAGTCCCACATCGGGCTCCCTGCTCAGCGGGGAGTCTGCTTCTCTGACCCTCTTCCCTCTCGTGCTCTCTATCTCTCATTCTCTCTCTCTCAAATAAATAAATAAAATCTTAAAAAAAAAAAAAAAAAGAAAAAGATTTTGTTAAACCAAATAAGCCTTGGAGAGGCAATACATTTTCAACTTAATTTTTACCTTTGACATTAACCAAGATGAAATGTGATTCCAGCACTTACAGTATGTACAGTTTATTTTGGCTATGTGCTTTTGTTTCAGACAGAACCAAGTTGTATTACTAGACACACTGGAACAGGAGATTTCAAAATTTAAAGAATGTCATTCTATGTTGGATATTAATGCTTTGGTAAGTATGATTTAGTTGACACAGCGTAATGAGAGCTTGGCTTAGAAATAACTAGGTTTATCCTGTGCAGCTTTGTACTTAAGTATATTTAGGATCTTTTCCTCTAATTTTTAATGTTTAGGATTTGTCTTTTAACAGGAAACCTTTATTTACTTTACTAGAACTTCCATTGTCTTGAATTGTTATCTTTCGAATGTTGAACTTGTAGTAGAAAATGGAACTTATTTGTTAAAGTCTGGAATAGATTTGCTCATAATAATTAAAGACTTCTAAAACAGAACTAAGAGAACTAAAAGTAAGGAACTTTTGGGGTGCTGTGTTTCCCCTTAAGGAGAGTGCATCTCTCCTAATCAATTACAAGACTTTTTATTTTTATTTATTTTTATTTTTTATTTATTTATTCATGAGAGACAGAGGGGGAGAGAGAGAGGGAGAGAGAGATAGAGAAGCAGAGGGAGAAGCAGGCTCCCGCTGAGCAGGGAGCCCGATGCGGGACTCGATCCCAGGACCCTGGGATCATGACCTGAGCTGAAGGCAGACGCTTAACCATCTGAGCCACCCAGGCGCCCGAATTACAAGACTTTTTAAAAATCAACATTTTATTTAATTGTATGGCCTATTCATAGTGTCATAACATATTAATGCTGAAATGGACCCTTTGGGGGGTCCTTTATAGATCCTTTATATCTTTCAGTGTATGTTACAGTAGTGAATTTCATCAGAAGCTTTATAGCTTTTTGATGAGAGGACTGATACTCTATTTTAAGAAACAGGGAATTAACAAAAATAAGGAACTTGTGGCTACCTTTCTTTTCACCTCAACATTAAGCAGTAGCTTGGTTTGTATGATTTTGTGGACTTTCATACATGTGTCAAAAAATGAACTTTTTGTTGAACAAATGTGGCTCATTAATGTTTTCCCTTTATAATGATCAAAAACAGAGTTCATCTTCTGTAGCATTAGGCAGAGGCCTGGGGTAGTAAATACAAAGTCTTCCACTTAATGGTTTTCTGACTTGTTCTCCAGGTGGACAAGGCTACGCTGACCTACTTTTGTCTTCCCCACTGAATTCATATTGCAGCAGAACAAACATTTGCTGAGTGAATGAGTGATAAATGAATGAACCAAGCAGATGTAATAGTGTTACTTCAGTTTGCAAGGGTCTTCCTGTTTTTTCCTCTCTCAGCCCAAGAGTGGTTTGATTATCATTCAGGAGCTGAGAACTATAAGGCCCTGGGGGTGGGGGGGAGAGGATCTGTAAGCTCTAGAGCTCATCAGACTAAGACTTTACTTGTAGATACATGTAGGTTGCTAATTTCTTTACTGACACATCTCTTATTCTTTTTTTTTTTTTTTAAAGATTTTATTTATTTATTCATGAGAGACAGAGAGAGAGAGAGCAAGAAGCAGAGGGAGAAGCAGGCTCCCTGCTGAGCAGGGAGCCCGATGCGGGACTCGATCCCAGGACTCTGGGATCATGACCTGAGTCGAAGGCAGACACTTAACCATCTGAGCCACCCAGGCGCCCACATCTCTTATTCTTGTTACTTGGTCTTCTCTTTCTGTTAACCTTGGCGCTCCTGAGAATGAGGTGCTTTTTTCTTTTGCTCCCATCTCTGGCTGAGATGGAATGTCCATACATACCATGACTTGGGAAGAAAAGTGTCCTTACAGAGGTGGTTCTGTGTGGTCTCACTTTAGAAGCCCAAGGAACATGACCAGATTTGTCCACAGCCCTCTCAGGATTCTCTGGCCATAGCTTGGTTTTTCCTGATGGGCGGACACTTCACTGAAATTGTCCTGTGTACCCTGCTCAGGCTCTGCCCTGTAAAGACAGTAGAGTGTTCTCCTTTTTCTTACATGAAACTGATAGCATTACTGAATAGTCTTAATAAAATTTTAGGATTATATTGCATGTTTTTAAAGCAAAATGTTACCTGTACACAATATAAATGTCTATTTTATGTTTTGTAACTCTTTTTTTCAATTTGAACTGAATCAAATGTTTTCAAATGCCTATTAGTGGTTTAAATGAAATTTGAATTTTGGCATTAAAATGAGATAATTAAGGTTTTAAAAAATGTGACTGTTGAGGCAGAATGAACTGTAATTTATAACTCATCCATTTTACTATTTCAAAATGTCTGTTTTTTTTCCCTTTTTTTTTTTTTAATTTCAGCCTGTTTTAACTTGGCTTTTCATTTCCTTTTCCATGTTTAGTTCACTGAAGCTAAACACTATCATGCCAAGTTGGTGAATATAAGAAAAGAGATGTTGATGCTTCATGAAAAGACGTCGAAGTTAAAAGTGAGTTGACAATTCTTTCACACTCTTTATAGAAGCAGAGGTTTAATTGTTTTTTTCAGTATTCATTTTCTGACTTCTTAGATATCCATATTCAATAACATACTTAATTCATGGTTCACTGTTTTCTTTTAAAACACATCTACTCTGGGCTTTTCTACTCATAGCTGGGCTTAAGGAGCTCGTGTTTTCATTGTCCCTGCTGTTCTCATTCAGTAAGAGTTTGGAGTAAGAAATTAAAAAAATTTTTTTATATTAAGGGGCACCTTAAATTATCCAGACAAATTTAAAAGTTAAATATGAAATTTATTAATGCATGTGGATTACCTCAAGTCAGAGCACTGCTACATTGAAATGAGGCCACAACTGATAAGCCTTGATTGTTCTCTTGGTTTTAAAATTTTTTGACACAGAAAAGAGCACTTAAGCTACAGCAGAAGAGGCAGAAAGAGGAGTTGGAGAGGGAGCAGCAACGCGAGAAGGAATTTGAAAGAGAAAAGCAGTTAACTGCCAAACCAGCTAAGAGGACGTGAGAAGCCGAGCGCGCATGTGTGTTCGCCCTCCCCTGCCCGTGTGGCCGGCATCCGGGGTGACCTCAGGGTAGGCTGGGGTGAAGGTAGTGCCTTATGCCACCGTCTCCCATCTCGCAGTCCTTTCTGCAGGACTGCTGTCTCCATATCTTCATTTCCGCGTTCAGGAAGCTTCCCCCACCAAGTAGAAGACATAATGTCACTCGGTTTGAGGATTTACATGTAATTTTCCAGCTTCTGTTCTGTATAATTTTCAAATTCATTATTTTGGCCTTGAATGATTTATAAACTGGAAAGTGGTCTAGACTCTAAGTGATTAAAAACTAGGATGAGTTTTGTAGCATCTTGGTAAGCATGGATTTAAAAGATTCAGTTTCTTATTTATGGAATGACTTGCCTTTCTGGCAACACAGTGCTGGTTTTTGGTAATTGCCGTTTCATCGCTTGGTTAAGAAGAAATGCTAACTGTTCCATCACGTATGCCATTGGAAAAGAGGTGGTATAAGCCTTTGTGAAGAACACGATGGAGACATGTGTACACAGGAAATAGCATCTTAGACATGGGACAGGTGGGCAAGATTCCAGATAGACCCTGCTAACCATCCCCTCTGCTTCCTAATGTTGTTGCTCTCTCGTTCTCCTCTGTGCTGAAAATAGGTGATCCCTACTCCTAACGTTTGGCAGGGGTGATAGAGCTGTCACACGCTCAAATATGCTTCAATATTTATAATACTTAGAGTTGTCACACCCTGAGATACAGTTGCCAAATTGATAAGATTCCAACTTTCCAAATGGAAGGTCTAATCACTAGTTCTGTCTATCCTCTGATTTGCTCTGTGGCCTTATATGTGGTTACATTTTCTGTGCTTTTAAAAAAAATTCATAAAGTAGAATGATATCTATACCAACTACCCATTTTATAGATAATGATAAGAATGGTAGAAAATTAGCAAATAGCTTCTTCACAAAAGAGGCGGCATGATACCTTGAGTGTTTTCTGGATTGTTCCCCTCAATATTTTTAGTAGGAACTTATTGGAGGGAAATCTCACATGAAGTTTCATTTTTTTAAGATTGAGATTATTCATTGTTTTAGTATTATTTAATATCCAACTGGTCTTCAATCTCTGTTACATAGAGACTGTACAGAACTTATAAAGGTGTGTGCTTAGAATTGTGTATCTTTTATAGTCTACATTACATTTTTGGTAAGCTGGAATCACTACCTCTGATCTCATATCAGGCTAACCATGGAGAGGGCATTAGATTTAAGTTGACTGCTAAAAACTGGTCTATTTAAAGGTTTAAACAGTTTATTGGAAAGCCGGTCCCTTTAATGAATGAATTAGGATCTCACAATTTACTTGACTTTACCGGATACTTAAAAATATAAATATATTTTATCTTAAAAGGCTACATTTGCCCTCAAACACTAAGTAAAACTTGCCTGGGGCAGGATTCATTAGCACTTGCAGGACAATGTCACCTAAATTGCTGAACGTACTCATTTATATAAGGCTATGCATTGTTTTTCAGAGTGGTTTGTGGGTTAGCTGCAATGATTATTTAAAATGCTGGTTTCTGGACACCACTTTCAATCTAACTGAAGTAAATCTACTATTTGTTTTTGTCTTTTTTTAATTTTTTGTCCCCCCCAAGTGGTTCCTGATGTACCTTAAAAGTTGAGACCCATTGGTCTAGTGGTCTAGGTCAGAGGTTCATACTAGTCTGCATGCCATTATCACCTGAGAACTTCAAAACATAACAAAACAGACATTCTGGAAGATTCTTAACCATTAGTTCTGAGGTGGGGCCCATGCAAATTTTGAGAGCTCCCCACATGATTCTAATACAGGGGACTACTCATCTAGATTGTCTGTGATTTATATTTATAAGGAATGAAATAGTTTAAAAGCTACCCAGTAACTCTTGGGATTAATCTTACGAAATTCTGAACTGCTGCTTTTGATATAAAGTTAGATTTAAGGCTGAAATAGATAGCAGGCAGGAAATAGATACAGAATTCTGGTTAATTAATTGAACTTTTGTGATCTGTATTAAAATAAATCATGTTTATTGAGTGAGTGGCAAGGCACATATACTTTTAGAATTGTATTTAAGTTTTGAAGATTTTTTAAAATGTCAAGAATATATATTAGCAACCGCTATTTTTTAGGTCAGTTGTAAATCAGAAGTACTGTTACATTGGTAATTACAATCTAAAACTTTAGCTGTATTTCAGTAGCATAGAAATATATCTTACTGACTAAACCTAAATGGAACCCTTTATATTAGTCTTGAAATATTTTTGCACAATATGGTGAATTGGTACTTGGTTTGAAAATAATTACTTTTGGTTTTTTGGTGGAAAAAAATTGCCTTTATTTTGAACTATATCACACATATACTGAACTAAAATGACAGTTAATTTTGTATTTACTTTAGAGTAGGTATTATGTAAATATGCAGACATTGAATGTAATATGGATTGTGTCTGCAGTGAGTGTTTGGTTGTATACAGTTCATAATATGCCAGTTACCCTTGTACATTGTCTGATTTTGAGCTTGTACAATGTGGACTACTTTTTACACATTTAATAAAAAAAATAGGTCTCTGAATTATCCCAGGTCCTTTATGAAGCTCTGTTTTGTATGTAGCACTGTATATTTCCCTTTATGTACTATTATTTCAAACATTTTATTCCTTTGCTTTCTTCTCCTGTCATCTACTTAATGTGTTCTGTGGATTGTATCACAAAATGACTGGGCTACTCATGAAATCCTTTTCAGAAAGATGATAGAGGGGCGCCTGGGTGGCTCAGTTGGTTAACTACCTGCCTTCAGCTCGAGTCATGATGGGCTTGAGCCCCACGTTGGGCTTCCTGCTCAGCGGTGAGTTTGCTCCCTCTCCCTCTGCTGCTTTCCCTGCTTGTGTGCTCTCTCTCTCTCTCTGTCAAATGGATAAATAAAATCTTTAAAAAAAGATGATAGAAAGTCCTGTGAAACGATTCTGGTTGAAATCACCCAACTTCATGAAGTTATTTGAGAATAGAAATGCTAACTATAACATTTATTTATTTATTTATTTATTATTTTTTTAATAACTACAACTTTTAGTGATTTGGTAGAGGATCCCTGCATGAATCACCTGTAAATAATGGAGATTTCCAACTAATAGAATATTTTAGGTCAGGTTTTTAATTTTTTTAATATGGGAGTCCATGGACTTCTGTGGATAGCCTTTGGCGGGGACATGAACTCTCATAAATCTCTCCTAGAATTTTGTATATATGTGTTTCCCAAGATTGGATCTATAGATTTCATTAGGTTCTTTTATGTACATATAAAATTTCTTTCAAAGCAATGATTTTTAATTATTAAACCTCCAAACCTCACTGTGCATATATTTAAAAAAATTACTTAGTTTCTAGGTTTTCCTTTTGGATGAAGTTTTATTTATTTATTTATTGTTTGTTTGTTTGTTTTAAGTAAACTCAACACCACACTTGGGGCTTAAATTCACTCACAACCTGGAGATCAAGAGTTGCGTGCTCAGGGCATCTGGGTGGCTCAGTTGGTTAAGTGTCTGACTTCAGCTCAGGTCATAATCTCAGGGTCCTGGGATAAAGCCCTGCATTGGGCTCTATGCTCCGTGGGGGGTCAGCTTGTCCCTCTGCCCCTGCCCCCACTCATGCCTTCTCTGTCTCTCAAATAAATAAATAAATAAAATCTTAAAAAATGAGTTGCATGCTCTACCCATTGAGCCAGTCAGGCACCCAGATAGTTACTATATTGTGTATTTGTTCAAAGACTGTGTTTATACAGATTAATCAGATATTTAAGATTTGTTCTCTTGCATGTTCATACTGTTTTAGCTCTGTTTCCATGTATGAGGCCAGAGGGCCATCCAGTCTTTTGGTTAGCATTTGGGTGAGACTAGGTTTATTTCAAAGCCATTAAGAGAGTGAAGAGAGTAGTCAAGGGAGACAATTCTAATGACTAGTTTAAAAAGCGCTTAGAGCAAAAATTCCATAGAAACACAGTGTGAAGGAAGGAAGGGTGGTCAAAGAGAAGACAGGTAAAATTTGGGGCAGTGTGGGAATGATAATCGAGAAAGAGACAAGGGAAGGCTAAGTATGAAGTAGAAGGGAAAGGTAATGATCTTTGGCAGACCTGTGTAGCCTGAAAAGAAGGGAAACTGATATGCATGTACAGAATAATAAATTAATAAAACCCACCTATTTAGGATAGGTTTAGTAGGTCGCCCCCTACTGTCACTTCATCATAAATTGGGAGAGAAGGTTGTAGCTAGCTGTTCATTCTGGTTTAGATCATAAATATATTTCTAATATGCTTTGGGAGGCTTGCAGTGCTCCAGTCTGGATAAGGATGGGGCTGAAAATTTCTGAGCATGTATGGGTGCGGCTCACTCCTATTCTAGTCTTGACTTTTATTAGAACTTTGGAAAAGACAGTCAAAAAGTATATTGAACACTGTGCAAGGGAATATAGGAATCCTAAGCAACAAAAATGTGTATATAGACCGGAACGTTCTGGCCTCTGCTTTGATCGTAAAACTACAGTGTGTAGGGCTTTAGGAATATAGTGGTTGGGATTGCGGCCTCTGAAGTCAGACTGCTGTGGTTTCTACTCCTGATTGGTTTCGGGCCTTGGACTTGCTTGATCCCCGTGTACCTCAGTTTTCTAAACTGTAAGGTTGGGATAAGTGTTTCTGGCTTTTTAAGTTACCAGGTTTTATGATATCGACATAAAAACAAAATAGAGCTCGGGAAATGGTGGATGTTAGAGTATCTTAAAGCCACACATAATCCCACGGGGGTGGTGGTGCTTATTTTGCCCCTCTTTACATGTTGATTTTGGCTCACTGGGTTCCCGCTGCCTAGGATCCTTCATCCTGTAATGTCTGCCTCTTGAGACACCTGTTTGTTCTTTGCAGCTCAAATGTCATTTATGGTTTTCCAAACCACTTCCTAAAGAATTTCTTTTTTCTTGTGTTCTATATAGTACTTAATAATACATTTGCCTTCTCATGAACGGTATTATTTATGTGCTCACATGTCTCTCA